ATTGGCTACCATGATATATTTTTACAATAGTATCTGAAGTTTGGTTTGTTGTAGGACAATGTTCTAAAAAATCTAAGTAAGAGATATGTGAATCATTTATAAAAAGAGATATAATGTTTACCTCTATAAAATTGGCCCATACTTTGGATGCTAGTGGTGAAAATTTATTACAGTTCTTCAGTGAGCCAAATTTCCAATCTGAAATGTGAAACCAACTGCTATTAATTTAAACGTGAGAACTGTGAAACATTCTGGGTGTAATTAAGATCAACATGTAAGGGCTGTTATGGTTTGAGTGTAGAGAGCCCCTCAAAGCCTCATGCAACCATAGGATTTTTTGGGAGGTGGCTGACTAGAATGCGATTGATTTATAATGCAATGCTGGGATTAAGGGTCCTGAGATTAAGTGTAGGTGATTGCTGCATCAGTCCATTGGTTGGATTGGCACTGCTCTAATCTCAAGAGAATGGATACAATATACTGGACAGAAAGAAGTTTGTATCCCTCTTCTGCTTATTGCTTTTGCTGTCTTCTCCTACCATGAACTGTTGTCACTCTTGTGTTCCACCCCTATTATGGACTGAAACTTCTGCAAATTGTAAGCTAAATAAACCTGTCTCCCCTTGAACTTTGGGTATCTGATAGTTTGTCTCAGCAATGAGAGAAAAGTAACTAAGACAAGGGGTAGGCTGATAGAACATGCCACTTAACATAAGAAAAATAGAGATGCTTATTTCTGCACATAGCTTTCATTTGCATATTATGAATTTAGCTCATGTATGCAAATTATAGATATAATGAAAGCCTGTAATTATCAATTATAGGTATAATTCTTAAAGATAACTCTCAAATAATGTCCTATTCTTATTCTTTGGGGTGCCATAGAAATTCTCCATGATTTTTAGCTCAAGACCTCAGCTGTGAATAGTATACATTAAAGGTATTTACAGATCCACATGATTTATAAATATTTATTACTCTTTCTTATGTAACATCTCCAAAGAAGTCATGCAAGAACGGGCATGTAACATCAAATTCATAATCTTTAATCATAAATATTCTAAGATGTGGCTTTGTATAAACAAGGAGATCAGAGAAAGAGTGCAAAGGTTTATTTCAGACAAGGTTGTTTAGAGAAAGGCTAAAGCTATAAGTCAGAAGTGAAGTCTTAAATTGTGGATTAAATGAAGATGTTTTGGAAGTATTGTAAAATGCTTGAGAACAGTGAGACTAGGGATTCACTTCAGTGAGGCAAAGGAGGGTAATGAATACTCTTTTTTAACTTCGAACAGCAAGAAATTTTCTAAAGGTGAAAGAAGCTTTATATGGCCCGGGATTTACAGATTTGTTCAAGGGTTAGGCACAAAAGAAAGCCAAGCTCATTGGCATCTGCCACAGGACAGTCTCAGGTAGCCTATGTCCTCTCACCATTCCCAGACACTGTGTTACACCCTAAACCAGAAAGCAGCTATGCCTTTCTACTTCTGAACCAGTGCCTTGCTTTCCTTTTCTCCGGTCCACCCATCACTTCCCTCCTTTAGCCGCCATCTTCTTCCTCCTCCCTTCCCCCACCCCTTCTTGTTCTCCTCTTCCTCCTCCCTGGCCTTGCTGTTTTGCTTTCCTGGATCCTTCTCCTTGGATCACCTTACTGTCCTATCCCGTGTCCTGTACCCTGATGTAATTCTTAATGAAATTCATTTCAGGAAGTCCACTGATTGGGTCCATGACACGCGTATAATTTACAGGAGCAGCTGGTCCCTCCTGACAGGGACATGCCTCTCATTCCTCAGTCTGTGCCCAGATTTTTCTCTTTCGGTTTGTGGTTTTCAATTGTACTTGTAATGATCTTCCCATCTTCAATGATTTTTTGATTTTCTGTGACTTTAAAAAGGAAAAGGAACAGGTTTTCTAAATAAGATAATGTTCATAAATGCAAGAAAAAACAAACTTTTGTTTTTGAATCAAAGGCTGAGCAGCTATAACTTGTGAAATCCTCCTTGGATATTGGTCCCTTTGAGCTCTGGCTCATTTTGACAAATGGCAGTAAGAATAGCCTTTTGCATACTTAAGCTGCATGGGCCACCTAAAAGTTAAACTTTCCTATCAGTGTCCTTTACTTGTTTGAATTTCATCATACAACAGTACTTAATTGCATAGGCTTCAGAGATTGAGGGCCTCTGTTTAAATCCCAGCTTCTGGTTTGTGACTATGGGTAAATTATAGTTTCTATACTTTAATTCCATCAGTTATAAAATAGGAATGTAACTGTCAACTGTTGTTGTAGGATATTTACAAAGATTAAAGCAGATAATGCTCTTTAAGTGTCAAATAAGTTATACCACTCTTGAAGATAGGCAAATTATATCTGTGTGGGTAGAAAAGTGCAATACTTTTCTTCACCTACCTATACTAGAAAGGTTAAAAGGAGAAAAATCTAATGACTAGATTTAACCAAAGTTTAATATTATATAGTAGCCCTCACAAGTGCAGACCCAAAGACCCAGTAAAAACCAATTTAATTTGTAAATTTAAAGATGAATCAATAGCATGTAGAAATGTGATTGGATAAAAAGGGTATCATCTAAGGACAAAGCTCTGAGAGGAATAGTTACAAGTCCTATCTGTATAGATTCTTCTTGTCTTCTCTGTGTACCATTCTTTCTCCCAGCTATGAGGCAGGATCCCTCTGGAATGACAGTCTACAGTAAAATAGGAGAGGTGACCTTTCTAAGTCACTTAAGTTGGTTTTGGGAGAAAGAAGCTGTAGTACCTATGGGAAACCTGTGGGAAGGGGAACTTTGGTTTCTATGATTCACTACAGGAAGGAGAAGACACAGGAGAATAGAAGGTCAAGGAAAAACTTCCTCTGATGGTTTCTGGGCTTCTTCAGTTCAGGATTCTTAGCAAGCCAAAGAGTCATACTATGGAGTATCTGAGCTCCAAAACATTCTTTCTCAAATACAAAAAACGTTAACACAGTATGTCTGAGGAAACACATGGAGCATTTTTTTTTATGTTTAAAGCATATATAATTAGTAGTCAAGTATGAATAAATACAGGCATATAATTAGGTCTTAGGTGTTATTCTTTTTCCTGCATTAAATCTCAAAGTTTTACATAAAGCAAGTTATAAATAAATGATTATTGAACACAGGCAAAATTTCAATTTATAATATAACTTAAATATATTTTAAATGTATAGTTAAACAGGTTGAATGTAAAAATAATGCTTACAAAATGTGCATTTAACATCATTGTTAAAAAAAAATCTGCAGTCCCCTAAGAATAATTACCTCCTCCAAATTCCTACTAAGGTGTGAATTTTTGGGACGTAGGTAAAGGCATTTGAATTAAATGTACAGCTTGAAACATGAACTGTATGAGTTAATGCATTTGCAACAGACTTCTCAGTGAGGTTACATATTGCTTAGGTTGCAAATGAAAAAAGCCAAGGAGTGAATAGTAAAGACCCACTGAATATTCTTGCAACTCCTAATGGGTTTCTTTGCTTCCTTTTCCTTCTTAATAAACCATCCATCCCAGCTAACATCATCTTTTTCAAATGACGTAAAAATGTTCCATGTTAAGGCTCAGAGAGTTACAGAATAATTTAATTTGAAGACTGGAGGGAAACATAATCAAGACTCTTTTAGCAGCAATATTTTGCTCTTGAGTTATTTACTTTAGTTTTCTCACTTATTATATTTTCATGCTGTTCCACTTACTACCACTTGATACTAACATATTGATACTGGGCAGCGTACTTGGTTGGATATTGCCCTATTCTAAAATACAGCCTGGGGACTGTGGAGTATTTTCCTTCTAATATCAAAGTCAGGAGCTTGTGGTTTTCCTCTGAATATTTTCAAGGGAACACTATTGTGTAGCATTTGGGACTAGCAAGTAATTGTTATAGTATATGTTTTGTTCTTGGGCTTTCTTCCTCTTAAAGAAAATTTTCTGTTAATATATTACATAAAATATATCACAAAATAGTACATTGTCAAAGGATATTTGTTTTCATTCTTGTGTGGGTCCTTTTAAATATGTCGCTGAACAGCAAGCAATTCAATTAATTTTCAGTTAGTTTCACCCCCCCCCCACTCTGTCTTGATCACTTTGAAGTTGAAATCGTATTTTGCATCTATATAAAACTGTCTTTAATATTTCAGTCATTCCAGAAAACTTTGTTTATATTGACTCAGTTTTTCTTTCCCACTGCAGTCTCTAATCTTTAATTAAATGTAGTTGCCCTGGAAGATTTGAGAGCTTGTTTGTCCAGTAGGTACTAGGTGTCTGTCAAATCAAATTGGACTGAAGCAACGTGTAGAATTACGAAGATTTTTACCAGGCGCTGGCAGAAATTCTCACAATGACGTTCCTAGTGATGTCGATTTGTGCAGTACTTGGTTAAGAGGAAAAGCATTGGAAGGCGGGGCAGGCAACAGATGAGCACTGGTGCCTCCCATTCTCCTCCCAGCCTCGCTCCTTGGAGGCTCGGAGCCTGGCGCACTTCGGGGCAGCAGGTTCCTACATGTGCTAGGCAAAGCCAGGCGCCGCGCAACGCCTGGGCGTTCCCAGCCGGGACTACTGGCTGTTTGCAGTCTGCAAACACCTGGCTTGTGGCTAGGGGGCCTTCGAGACTTCTGTGACTAGTCGGCTGGGGGGCGCCAGGCGGCGGGCTGTAAGCGGTTGGGAGAGTTTCCTGTGTGTCAGCAACTTCGCTCAAGGAGATAGCCTGCCCCAGAGCGAAAGTGCGCCCGCGGACCAATCGCTCGCCAACAGCCACCGCTGAGCAAGCGCACCCTCTGCCCTCGCCACTACCACGCGGCGGCTGGGCCGAGACTGAGCGCACCCCAGCACTGCGAAGCCTTGCTCCCCAGAAGACGCCTCGGCCCGTGGCGGCGACCTCCGCAGCGCGGGCACCGGGCCCGCGAGCTCGGCGGGGCACGCCCCTCGCCTCCGGAGCTGGGCGGACTCGCTCGGGCGCCCAGGCTCCGCCCACCCCGCCGGACTGGGCTCTCCCGCCAGCCCCCTGCTCTCCGGACTGAGCAGGGTAGCCGGAGCGCTTCGACTGCATGGACGGCAGACGGGAGGCAACTTAGCAGCGCTCCAGGCTGCGGTCACGCGCGCTCCCATGGCCCTCGGAGGCTGAGCGCGGGGGAGAGGGGAGCCCGGAAGAAGCGACTCGGACCACGAAGGACCTTCTTGCTTCCAAGGTAGGAGAAGGAAGATGCCCGAGGGAAGTTGAGCTTTGGGAGAAGGAGGGTGGGCTGCGCCCTCTTCGCTGGACCACAGCCGGGCGAGTTTGGCTTGATCTCACTGTGCACCAGGAGTGCTCCGCAGCGCGGACCCGCGGACCCTCGGGAAAGCACGTTTGGAAAGTTGTCTGTGCCCTCTGCGCCCTGTTGTGTAACCTCTGCGCCGCCTGCCAGACAGGGAAGTTGCCGGTCGGCCCGCCAGCCTGCTTCGGTCACGGATGCGAGCGAATTTCATGGCCCGAGGCGAACGCGCGCCCGGAGCCAGCGAGTGCGAGCCCCCGCGCGCCCCCTTCGGCGGGGATCCCCCGCGCCCGAGTCCTTCCACTCGCCGGCTTTTCCGATGCTCGCTGCGTGCGGTGCCATCGCCGCCCTCTCGCCGCCGCTTGTCCTTCGTACCTGCTGCCTAAATCGGGGAGGAGAGAATGACCGAGGTTCTGTGGCCGGCTGCCCCCAACGGGACGGACGCTGCCTTCCTGGCCAGTCCGGGCTTTCACTGGGGAAACAGCACAGCCACCTCCACCGCCGCCGCTGCCGCCCCCTTCAGATGTGCCCTGACCAAGACAGGCTTCCAGTTCTACTACCTGCCGGCCGTCTACATCGTAGTGTTCATCATCGGCTTTCTGGGCAACAGCATAGCCATCTGGATGTTTGTCTTCCATATGAAACCTTGGAGCGGCATCTCCGTGTACATGTTCAACTTGGCCCTGGCCGACTTCTTGTATGTGCTGACTCTGCCAGCCCTCATCTTCTACTACTTCAATAAGACCAACTGGATCTTCGGGGATGCCATGTGCAAACTGCAGAGATTCATCTTCCACGTGAACCTGTATGGAAGTATCTTGTTCCTGACGTGCATCAGCGCACACAGGTACAGCGGCGTGGTGTACCCACTCAAGTCCCTGGGCAGGCTCAAAAAGAAGAACGCTGTCTACATCAGTGTGCTCGTGTGGCTCATCGTGGTGGTGGCCATCTCTCCCATTCTGTTCTACTCTGGAACCGGAATCCGGAAAAACAAAACCATCACCTGCTATGACACCACCTCAGATGAGTATCTGCGAAGTTATTTCATCTACAGCATGTGCACCACCGTGGCCATGTTCTGTGTCCCCTTGGTACTGATTCTGGGCTGTTACGGATTAATTGTGAGAGCTTTGATTTACAAAGACCTGGACAACTCGCCTTTGAGGAGGAAATCCATTTACCTGGTGATTATTGTACTGACTGTTTTTGCTGTATCTTATATCCCTTTCCATGTGATGAAAACGATGAATTTGAGAGCCCGGCTAGATTTTCAGACTCCAGAAATGTGTACTTTCAATGACAGGGTGTATGCTACTTATCAGGTGACAAGAGGTCTAGCAAGTCTCAACAGCTGTGTGGACCCCATTCTGTATTTCTTGGCTGGTGATACTTTTAGAAGGAGACTTTCCCGAGCAACCAGGAAAGCTTCCAGAAGAAGTGAGGCAAATTTGCAATCCAAGAGTGAAGACATGACCCTCAATATTTTATCGGAGTTCAAGCAAAATGGAGATACAAGCTTGTGAAGGCACAAGAATTCCCAAACACCTCACTTTGTAACATGGTAGGATGCTTAACAGAGCCAAGTACTTTCTCCCCTTTGAGTTTCTAGTAAAATTATAAAAATCGAAACAAGAAAGTAGTGAATTAAAAAAAAAAATAGAGCAGCAAAAGAGCCCACATTCATACTTAATTATTTGGTTTTGTCGTCAGTCTCGCTTCTGACTGACTAGAGGTATGTCTAATAAAACAATACTGCATAGTTAAACATTTACTTTTCTTCTGCCTTAAGTTACAAGCTTTTTGTAAAGTGTGTATGCACATGAATACTGGAGCTGTTTTAATATTGAGAAGTTCTCAAATAATCTAGACCCCAAAACTTGAATTTTTAAAAAATTTTTACAGGCTTTATCATTTTTAATAAACCATGGCATGAACAAGCTGGAAATCCAAATTCCTAAAATATTTAGCACAGCCTATCAAATTTCATTCAATACAGATCTTGCTATCTTTTTCAATTCCTCGCAAGCATAAATGGTAGCTGCATTTCTTTGGGGAATTGAGTAGAAAAGTAAAGTCAATGAACCTAAAAGTCTGAAAATTTTAATTTTTCTGTTATTTCTAGAAAGCTGCATATTGGGTGCTAAATGTTGATGGTGGAATCCTGAATCTGTAATCTTAGTGGAAGATGCAATGCAGATGTCACAGTGCATCTGTTTTCATTGTAAACACCATGAACCTGTTAGACTTCCTGAAATAAAGCACATTTACTTGTACTACTGTTGTGCAAGACCTTAGGACTTTGTGTTCCAAGACAAGGGCTCACTCACATCTGAAATAACAGTTTTTCAAGACTCACAGTTAAGTTACAGACTAAAGTTTGAGTAAAGTTAAATAATTGTTTTCAAATGGAGGGATATGGAGCATGAGAACAGTATTTTCAGAAGGGGTGTGGCTGGCAGTCATGCACCGTGCATAGCCTAGAATATAGTCCTCCCAAGTATGTGAGGCAGCTGGAGGGGGATAGAAAGAAGGCCTTTTGGAATAACGTCTCTAAAATCACAGTGTGAAAGGGTTCTTTTTGCTTCGAGGCATTTAAAATATGAAATGCAGCATGAAAAGAAAGAGAAATAGAATTTTTACAGGCTGTGTTGATAGCATGGGAAGCTATAATATGTTAATAAGTCTTATATCCTAACACATAGAGAAACAGAAATGCATATGGAAAGATAAATACAGAGAATTAAAGTATAGTAGCTCTGAGAAGTAAACTGCAACATACTATTCAAACTACTAGTAATTAAAGAGAAAAAGACAGGTCAGTGTATTTTGTATTTGTTCTCTGCCAGGCATTAATGAGAGATTTGCAAAATATTTCAACAACATTAATAACAATTTTCTTTCTTCCTTATTTTTGTCATTGGTACATGTTTGCAGTACATTGGTACATGTTTATATTCCCTGTATGGAGTTGGTACAAGTATATGACACATCTGCATTCCTTTTTTCAGTCCCTTTTCTTCCCTCATTCCTCTTCTCCTCCATCTCTGAAGTGATGGATTTCTTGCCCTTAAAATAGTTAAAATTTGTATAATGAGAATATGAGTAAATATAGTTACCAAAAATGAGTAAGTTTACTGTCCAAGAACTTTTAGTTGTGAAAGCTAGCCCTTATGAAGTCCTCATCAGAGTTTATAACTAATAATCAAGTAACTTGTTTAAAAACACCTTGTAATTTAAGAAATATGGGGTTGTAGCACACTATGGGACATAAGAACAGGGAAGTGAGGATCAGCTCTTGAAATGCCCAGGTAGATTGAACATTTATGTGATATTCAGAGCTGCTTCAGCTTAATCTCTAGCCACTAGGATCAATGTTTTAAAAGCTATATTTTGCCTACTTGCATAGTGGCACTTTTTATATGTTCATACTTAATGTATAAGGTTATAAAAACCTCATTGAGAAGACTTGTCCACTTCCTCATTGTGAGGTTTTCAAATTTCTCATGAGGCTTATAACAACACTGTTTTTGAATCCTAAAAGGCAGACCCTAAAACACCGCGTTTACTGTATTAGTCCTTTTATACGTATGTTCAGTGAAACAAGATCAATATAGTTAAACTGACCAAAATAGTAATTTCAGAGCCTGCACCATACTTGAACTCACAGCATAATGTACACATTTCTATTACATTTCCTCACCATGTAATTTAGTTTCCTTCCTTTTAGGTCTCAGGATACCCATGCTGGTTTTGAGTATATGCAGTTTGTTTCAGCTTCCAGGGAACTTTCTTTGGGAGAGTGGGTCCAGCTAGGAGTGCACAGTGACTCGATTTGCCCTTTTACTTCTTGGCATGCTTTTTCCAGGTTGTTTCTTTTCTGTTTCTTTACCTAGCTTTAGGGTTTGAACCTAGGTATTTGAACATGTTAGGCCCTCTACTACTGAGCTACATCCCCATCCACAAAAGTGTTTTGCTCTTAGCTTTATACATCATGCCAGGGGTAACGACATGATATGCCGAACAGTAATAAGAATGATCTTTCCAACTTCTTCCAGGCCAAGAGAAGTACCTGGAAAGATCTGTGTGAAAACTTATAGAGGGTCAGGATGAAGCACTGATCTGTCAGCTGAAAAGCTGATTCATGCCATGTGATGATATGAGTAAGTATTTTAATTGTAGAGGCAGAAATTGGTTGAAATTTGGATGGCAAAACAGCTAAAAACATGTTAATACCAAGTTCAAGGGATTTTTATTGCATAGAAATCATGATCTTTGACTCTTGAAGCATCCATCTGTAATTTACTCTGAAATAAAAGTGCAAACAAAGATGAAATATAACAGGAAAGTCAGAATTCGGATTTAAAATCATGATCTGACCTCTGGGCCAGTTGTGGGACATCTAACCTCTTGAAGACCATTCTTCGTGGATTGGAAGGGTTGAATGACATGCATTTGTTGAGGCTTAGGCGATGTGGCAGAGTTTGCAAGGTAGATGGGAGGAGTGCAACGGAATCTGCTACTGTGTTTTACAGGACTCTGCAGTCTGGTCCTCTGCTAAATATGCTTCCAAGTTTCAGCAGTTGTGAGATGACAGGTCATAACCTGCAAGTGTTTGTCTACTCATTTAGTATGCTACACTGTGGCTGTGTGCTGTGGATGTCACCACTTATCCCAGCTGGAATTCAGCTAGTGACAATATTGAAAGATGCTCCACTAATTAGGACCTATTGAAGCTTTACCTTTGCTGCTTAAACTGCAACCATTTTAATAATATTTATTGAAGCTCACAGTCTTTCTGTTGTACATATTAAAATGCTTTCTTGAAAGATCCAACATACTGATGTAAATGATATTTATTAAAGGTATAATAATATGTCACACTGGTGTATTTTACATGATGCATAGATAACAGAGTTGTGTATCATGATGCTTTTCAAATATCAATATTTTAAAATTTAAATCTTCAGAATTTGGGAGATTTAAAATACAAAAATCTGTTTTATGATACAATTGATTAATTTTCCCTACAAATACATTTGCATGTTTGCCTTTTTGTTATGTCTTTCCTCAGTGACACAATTTGGTACCAGAGTATCATAAGATTAATTGTGAATATAAAGTATTTTAGTCAGACTGGGTCTGCATTGTCTACATTTTATATATATTATAGAAGAGCTTACGTTGTCTTTTCAGGAGATTTAGAATTCTTTCCTCAACTGTGGTCAGAGCTTCTACTTTCAAAGGCAAAAGTCTTGTGATACATTCAGAATTAATCTCTTAGAATTCTATTGGTTTGGGCATTACAGATTTGACATTAGAATTTAAGGACAATCTTAGGGAGAAGGGAGAAAAAGGCATCTGGCTCAATCAGTTACTGTTACTCAGTTCTGAAGTGTTTGCATTATGTTTCTTCTTGAAGTGAAGTAATATAACTTTAATATTTTGACAGAGTTCTAAATAGCACACTATCAGAAACTTCAACATTGGTATTGATTTTAATGTTTTATTTGTTCAGTTGATAATTTTAATGACAAATTTTTAGTTATTTGGCTGCTGAATTCTGTTACACATGTTATTATGTTATACATTGCATTATATACATCATCAGAAATTAATATGAAGGTGAATATATGTTGCATATCAAAATTTGTGAATTTGAATTATATTACATTTTAGTGTTTTGCAAAAAAGTGTTTATTTTTGTATTATCTGTGATTTTAATGTAGATAATTGAATTAGATGTCTTTGTGAGTAATAGTGCCATTGAATGAATGGTATGAAACAGTGTTACTTGACATATTAAGCTTTCTCAGGTTTATCTGAATTGATGGTAGTTTAAGAAAATTCAAACTAATTGTGCATAATAGTTTTTAATAAAAGGAAAGCACATTTCCTATAATAGCATAGTTTTGTTTGCATGCAAGAGTATGTTTTGTACTGTGTGTGTGTGTGTGTGTGTGTGTGTGTGTGTGTGTGTGTGCGTGCGCATTCGTGCCTGGGGCATGGCAGCCAACTTTGTATCCACTATTTATAGTAACAGTAGAGCTTCATAATCATGGGCACTAGAACTGTATTTACCATCGATAATAAAGCTGAAAAAGATTCAATAAAGCTGTAAAACCTGGCTTGATGGCTTCTGTCTTATTACAGTCTTAATATTTACAAGTTTCTCTAAGTTTTAGCACATAGTATTGCAGTCTCTCAGGTATTATAGGACACAATGAACCAATAGTACTTCTTATAGTTGGACTATAGAAGCTATAAAGGAAGTTATAAGAAAAGTCCTGCTGCTACATAATCCATAAGATTTCATTACTTGATATTTAATTACCAATAGGGATATGATTTAATTCTTTCAAGAAATTATTGAATGCTAACCATAATATTTCTTCTCATACTGTGTTTAAAATGTTGACTAAAATCTTTCCTTACTAGTGCTTAATTCGCAAAAGTAGTCATACTAGTAATCTGTGGTTTCTGCTTCTTAGCCTCAATTGCTCGCTTTGTACAGGTATATTAATGTGTATGATCTGGTACTGCTCTACTGCAGGGTATTATGGAATGAAAGCATGCTTAAAGCATTAGTTTTTTATCTTATTGTTGAAGGTAAGTGTACAGTGGTCCTGTGTGGAAATAAATGCCCTATAACAAAATGCAACAGCGTGAGAATCAGATACAAATCTCTTGAAACCCTTAACATATTTTAGTCAATATTAACTCCTTAATGACATGTACTATGCAAAAACCTCATTGTTTGAAAATCCTTACTTATAACAGCAGCTTTGGTAGAGTTTTATAGAAAATGTATGAGTAAGGGGAGCGTGTGTGTGTTTTCAGTACAAATATAAATGTTATATAGATAATTATCTTTCTGATTTAAGAAGAATTTACCCTAAGTACGAGTATTTTTTTGATTTTTTAAGTTACTTTAGGAATAGAATCAGAGAATTTTTTTCTCTCTAGAATTAGATATTCTCTCTCTCTCTCTCTCTCTCTCTCTCTCTCTCTCTCTCTCTCTCTGCTCTCTCTGTCATTCTCTCTGTGTCTGTCTCCTCCCTCCCCTCCACTCCATTCCCTCCTCTCCTTTTCCTTCCTCTTCTCTCTCCACCATAGTGAAATAGAAAGTTTATACTTTTCAGGGGATTTAAAATTTTGGATCCATATGCAATTAGAATTTCAATTCTCAAGTATAAAAATTTTTTTCCTAAATTCAGAACAGAACTGTTATGACTTAGTGACCTGATGGAATGGAACACTATAGAAACAACAGATGTTACTAGAAATCCATGCTGTTGTTCAATGGTATGCTCGCTTATTTCACCCTGTAAAGTTATAATGCTTTGGGGTGGACCCTGTGGATGGCTGTCCCCAGGCAATGTGATTACTGGGACAGGCCATCTGGTACAGTAGCTGTGATGGAGTCAGCCTCTGGAATGAGCATTTGACAGTGCTACAGCCCTGCAGGAATGTAAATTGGGTAAGAGAGGATGAGAGACCAGAGCAGGCTACACATATTGCAGAGGAAAAAACATACTACATACCTCTCTTGATAATTTGATGGGGGAAACCACCTTTGTGAAGCTGGATAATCCTTGATGAAAGACTAAAACAGAGATCTTGGAGATGATCTATTTAATTTTATCACTTAGGTTGCAGTGAGAGCAAAATTTTAACTTCAAAATGGGTCAAGTTCAGGGATTTAGCTCAGCAGCATAAGCACCTGCCTGGCAAGTGCGAGGTTGTGAGTTCGATGCCCAGTACCCCCCCCTCCCCCCGCAAAAAAAAGGAAAAGAAAATGTGTTGAGAAAAGAATGTGAATTAATATAGTGGGTTAAAACAAGCCATTAGCATATGTACTATAAATTAGTCCATCACTCAATAAGGATTTATAATTTTAGTTTAACAGCAAACAGCAAACTTTGTATTTAAGAACATAACATCAGGATTACAGCTGCAAAATCTTGGGTTCAAATCCACCTCTACTATTCACTACTTGTTTGTGTTGGGCAAATTATTTAAGCCTTCAAAGTAATGTGTTCTTCAACTACAAAGCGGGAGTATGAAACATAGGATGTCAGAGACATTTAATTAAATAAGATTTACAACTCATAAAATAAGTACAAGGTATGTCATTTTTGAAGTGGAAAGAATTTTGTTACTCTGCCCTTTTGTTGTTGATCTAGATTTCTGTTGTTGTTTTTCATACTCTGGAGGCTTGTGAGTGTCTTAGAAACTCAATTTGTAGGATTCATAGATTGGGTGCATTTAATATTGTTCTTTTGGAAACTACTCAATTTCTGATATTGGATAATAAGTAATCAACTTTTTTGTACTATGATATGCCTTGTGTGGCATAAAAATGCATAAGATAAAATATTCAGCTGAAATACATATATGTGTGTGTGTGTGTGTGTGTGTGTGTGTAAATGCTGATCTCACTTGCTGTACCTCGCCTCTCAGGCTCATGGTTTATTTTCTGTCACTACAGTCCAGTATTTGGTCTCCAGCTTCTCAGATCTGGAAACTTGATCTGAACAGTTCATCTAGAGTTTACCAACACTCAGTGACTGACTCACACCAGACTAACTGACAAGAGAATCATTTACCAGGTAGTCTGCCAACTTTGAGCATACAAGGGCTATATCCCAGTCACAATAACAGACATCTGTCTTTTTGCTCAAGTGGGATCTAATTATGTATCAGAAAGATGCCTGTGAGCTTAAAATAAGAGAAAAGATTGGTAATATTCTTGAAAAGCATTTTCAGTAAGAAAAAGCAGCAGAACAAATCTTTTATCCCTGTGGATATTGGCCTTGCTAATCAACATCTTTCCTTTACTTCATAATCAGTACTTAAATGGCACTCTGCTTGCTTTGGATAGCCTTAGGTAGGTGCATGGAGTGAGACCTTCACATTTGTTTGTTCTGTTTGGAATTTGTCACCACCATCATTACTTCTTTGCATGAAAATTACGTCTTAGAAATGTCCCCTTCCTAGTGAGTGTGAGAGAAGGTAGGTGGTTAGGAAGGCCTGTAATGCTCCTGGGTTGAAGACACTTAGTTGATACCCAGTTGGAAAGGTTCAATATGGCATTGCAATTGTACAGTTCAAGATAGAGTCATAGCAAGATAGAGGTTTGAGAAGTGGCCTTCGGCAAATG